TTAACTTCGGTACATTGCAATTTCGTGCACAAAGAGATTAAGTCGAGGTTAACTAAGATTCTTCTATAGCCAAAAAATCTGGTAAAAAATATTTTCATAGTTATTATCAAACATTATATTTTATATAATTATGGAAGGAAATCGGAATAAAAAATATGGCAAAAAAATATTTTCATAGATATTATCAAATATGTATAAGAAAAGAGGGATGCTCACGTGTGAATCTCTGGCAGCTTTTGAGGAGGAGAGTTTTGCCTCAAGGTATATGGGGCTGTTTGTTTCACCAAGTTTATGGAATAGGAATGGTATTTGGACTTAACAGTGGCGTTTTCGTAATTAATGGAATCCACCTGATTCCTAATCTCAAGTTTGGTTCAAAAAAAAAATTATAGAATTGCTATTCTATAAAGTTGCTCAAACAGTGGTAATTTCAGGAAACCCAAATCCGATCTTTGAGAGAGAAATTGGGCGTGATTTCTGACACCTCTCCCAATTCTTATTCTGATTCCTAACGAAACCCTAGATCTGTTGATCCGTGGTTTCCCCGCTGTTCTTCCCCCGCCACAGCGCTCTCTTCTTCGTGCCTCTTCTCCCGCCGCTCGTCGTGGCTTGTGCGTGGTCGTGTCTGGAACTCGAAACCCTAGCTCTGGGGTTACCATGGTTTTTTGCAGATTTAAATGTCGATTCGGCTTCTCCCTCTAAATCTGATCCCGCCTCTGGTTGAGCCATGATTTCTTTAATTTGTTTTCCAACTTCTTGTTGGTGGGTTCCTGAGCTTTGGTTGTTGGTGATCCCTTCTCGAACTGGTGTTGGTTCGGGTGGATTTGTTGGCTACGGTGTTCATCTCGGCTTTGGTGGGTTTGTTGGGTTTGTTGCTTGGACCTCGATATTTTTGTCCCCTCTGCAGCTTCAGGTATACGATTTCCCCCTCTTTTTGTTCATAGTAATTCATTATTTGGGAAATTTAACAAAGAATCGGGTTATGTTTTCTAAATTTCAGTTAGTTGTGTAAAATATAATGCAATTGTTCGCATCGATATTGTTTTATTTAGTTAGTTGTGTGATGAATGACAGTTATGATTACTAAATTTCAGTTAGTTGTGTGGAAATTTCAGTTATGTTTACCAAATTTCAGTTAGTTGCGTGATAATTCATTATCTAGGACTTTTAACAAAGTATAGGGTTATGTTTACTAAAATTCAGTTAGTTGTGTGAAATAGAATGCATGATATTTGTGTGAATGTGTTGTTCTTGATAATTGTGTTTATTACAAAAGAATGTGAGTGCATGAAAAATAATAGGGTTATGTTTACCAAAGCATGGGGTTAATTTCGTTACATGAAAGGACCCGGGTAGTAGAATGTGTTGTTATTGACAATTGTGTGAAATCGAATGTAACACTAGTTAATATAAAATTCAGTATAATTAGATTTCTTGCGAATAAATATTTGTATCAGTTATCTAATTAACTTTCAACTGTAATAAGTAGACAAGATAAGTCGTAACTGTATGCTAATTTTAAAACGGATGTAGATGGATATGGAAGATGAGGAAGAATTGAAGAGGATGTGTGCTAATACAGCTGTCTGCACCGTGGTCACTTTGGTAACATGTATTTTGAGAATGCGTGCTAAGCGCAAGAGAATATCAACTTGTACGAAGCAAGAAAAGATCAGAAAAATATATTGTAGAGAGGCTCACTTCAGACGTGTATTGGAGGGCTATCAAGATAGCTGCCGATCTTATATTAGAATGAGACCGATCTTATTATAGAGAGGCTCACTTCAGACGTGTGTTGTTGGGTTTCGATTATATTTTGATGGATATTGTTGTGCTAATTGCAAACTATTAATGTTGTAATATATATTTTTATTATGAAGAACATCTATGTCGTTGTGGGATTGATGAATTGGTATTTTTTAAATCTTTGTTGCAGGTAAGTATGGTCATGGAATGATCAATGAGTTCTTTGAATTTTACCTTTGCTTTTGATATCAGGTAAATGAGTTTGTTGCTTGGGTTTACTGATGTCGGCTTTTACATTCTATTGCTTGGGTTTATTGCTCCATAGTCACATGTGGTTGCTGTGGGTTATGGGCTGTTATTTGGAGCTTGTGCAGCTCCTGCTGCTGCTGGGGTTTGTTGCTGTTTTGTTTTGAGCTTGTGTAGCTCCAATCTTTGTTGGGTTTGTGCCTGTTATTTGGAGCTTGTACAGCTCCTGCTGCTGCTGGGGTTTGTTGCTGTTTTGTTTTGAGCTTGTGTAGCTCCTTGCTCTTTGGGTTTGTGCCTGTTATTTGGATTTTGTGCAGCTCCTGCTGCTGCTGGGGTTTGTTGCTGTTTTGTTTTGAGCTTGTGTAGCTCCAATCTTTGTTGGGTTTGTGCCTGTTATTTGGAGCTTTGTGCAGCTCCTGCTGCTGCTGGGGTTTGTTGCTGTTTTGTTTTGAGCTTGTGTAGCTCCAATCTTTGTTGGGTTTGTGCCTGTTATTTGGAGCTTGTGCAGCTTCTGTTGCTGCTGGGGTTTGTTGTTGTTTTGTTTTGAGCTTGTGTAGCTCCTTGCTCTTTGGGTTTGTGCCTGTTATTTGGAGCTTGTGCAGCTCCTGCTGCTGCTGGGGTTTGTTGCTGTTTTGTTTTGAGCTTGTGTAGCTCCAATCTTTGTTGGGTTTGTGGCTATTATTTGGAGCTTGTGCAGCTCCTGCAGCTGCTGGGGTTTGTTGCTGTTTTGTTTTGAGCTTGTGTAGCTCCAATTTTTGTTGGGTTTGTGCCTGTTATTTGGAGCTTGTGCAGCTCCTGCTGGGGTTTGTTGCTATTTTGTTTTGAGCTTGTGTAGCTCCTTGCTCTTTGGGTTTGTGCCTGTTATTTGGAGCTTGTGCAGCTCCTGCTGTTTGCTGGGGTTTGTTACTGTTTTGTTTTGAGCTTGTGTAGCTCCAATCTTTGTTGGGTTTGTGCCCGTTATTTGGAGCTTGTGCAGCTCCTGCTGCTGCTGCTGGGGTTTGTTGCTGTTTTGTTTTGAGCTTGTGTAGCTCCAATCTTTGTTGGGTTTGTGCCTGTTATTTGGAGCTTGTGCAGCTCCTGCTGCTGCTGGGGTTTGTTGCTGTTTTGTTTTGAGCTTGTGTAGCTCCTTGCACTTGATATGTGGCAATGATGATGATCAGCGTTTACTGATAATACAATCTAACTTACATTGTTTATTATATCCAGATGAGACAAAAGGGGATGAGATTGCAGCCTACATTGAATTGACAATGTCTAGGCGAGGCAATTCATCCTTTTAATGCAATCTGTAATAAACATGTAAGTTATAGGTGGGGCAATCAATTATGACAAGTTGATCTATTACTGAGCCATACAATATCAATTACAATTTGTACCCAATTCAAACAATAGTTTTCATTACATCCTCAATATTTTTTGCAAGTACAGGTACATGACATGAAGTTTGTAATAATTAAAATAATACAAAAAATTGCTAATAAAAAGGTACATGACATGAAGTTTGTAATAATTAAAATAATACAAAAAATTGCTAATAAAATTGCAGAAATTTTCCAAGCTAGTAGTTGATTTTCGTTGCTAATAAAATTGCAGAAATTTTCCAAGCTAGTAGTTGATTTTCGACAAGTCTCAATTCTTTCTTCAACATCTTTGATTACAAAATATATTTATCTTCGTACCTATTTTCTTTGATATATTGGCTTCCTTGGTTGCTTGATGAGTCTCCTCTTTCTTCAGTCCATTCGAAAAAATTGCATTCTTTATTTGGGAATTTTGCACACCCCTAATAACACATTCCCTTATTTTTACCATTCTTGCACACTTTCATCGGTGTTCGGAGATTGCAGTCGCAATAAACTTCATAATTCTGGTAGCACTCTTCTGATATCATTTTGATGTCGGGGCAGCAAATTGAAGACAATGAGAATTTTATAATTGCTGAAAAATGAGAATGTATGGATTAATTTTGAGACCTCAAGGTGAATTTATAGCCACCATGACCCTGAACTAGCCGTTGCTACAGTGTTATGCCTTTGAATTTTGAAGTTGTGTGGAAATAGCTGTTGCTACAGTGTTGCTACTTTGAAATCTAAAATTTGTGGCTTTAATCCGTTGCTACAGTGATTTTTAAATGTAAAATGGGCTAGCCGTTGCTATAGTATCGATCCAAAAAAAAGATATTTTTGAACCAAACATGGTATTAGGAATTGGACCAATTCTATAAAAGTGAGATTCTTAATCCTTTGGGTGAAACAAACATTGAATGCAAAAAAAAGGGATTCCATAAAACTAAAACTTGTCTATAAATTTTTTATGGATTAGGTTGGAATCCATAAATTAAATACCATAAAACTAAAACTTGTCTATAAATTTTTTATGGATTAGGTTGGAATCCATAAATTAAATAGGATTCGTAATCCTATTTCTAGCCCTTGGTGAAACAAACAGCCCCTTAACTAAAACAGACCCTTAACTAAAATTCTTAATCTAAGGGGGTGTTTGGTTCAATTTCTACAAATTATAGGAAATGTTTTCCATCCAAAATATGATTTCCTTGTATTTCTTAAAAAAGTTATAGGAAAAGTTTTGAGAAGTAAAAAATATCAATTTTCTTATTTTTTGTACTTTGCTTGTTTGGTTCAAAACAAGAAAATGACCCATAACTTTATAGAAAATAACAGGATTTCTTATTATTTGTAGAAATTGAACCAAACACCCTTTAAATTTATAGAAAAATGCCAACTTTATAGAAAAATATTAATGTGGTGTCAGATTTCTGGGTGATTTCTGCCCATTTTGAGAGGAAATTAATTTCTGTAAATTTTGGTACTTTTCTGTACTTTACAGAAAACATTTCTATAATTTTTTTTAAACCAAACACAGTTTACGTAAATCTACAGAAAATTTTTAATTACAAAATTACCATCGTAATACCTTTTAATACATTTTGAGAAAACTTTTCTATAAAATTGTGCAACCAAACACCGCCTAAACCTATAAAAACTCCAAACCAATTTAGATTAGGGCACTTTTCCACTGAGATCGCCGGTTGAGATCGCCAGAGAAACAAAAGCCGGCGACGGCCGCTACAATGTACGGATCAGTTCCGGCTGACACCACCGCCGAATCTGAACGAACCGCGTTCCGAAACGCAGAGAAGCGATACAAACTCTACAAGGCCCCTGCTCGGAGATCCAACAGGTACTCATCCAAAAACCCTAAACCCCCGATTTCAAGATTTCTGGCGCACATGTTTCTGGTCTTCTTTACTTTTTGCAGGAAGAAGAGTTCGATTAAGGAGGTAGATCTCTCCGATGTCTTTGATTTTCGCGCCATTCTTGAGGCTTATGAGAGGGGCGGCGAGATTCCTGATGGGGTCTTTAGATTTGAGTGCTCTGGGTTTCATCGCCGTGTCTTTTGTTTCGATGATCGGCCAGGTACGGATTGTTATTAGTGATTTGTTTTCTGGTTAATTGATCATAAAGATTGGGCCTTTGGCTGTTACATTTGTAGGGAGAAGGTGGGGTGGGGGGTTGGTTTGTAGATGATATTGTGAATTCTGGACTCTATTTTAGTATCTTCTTCCTGTTGCCAAAAGTTTTTAATCTTGCTATAATTTATGGTTGTGCGGAACTGTGTGAAGATGAAGTCCCGTTCATATTTTACTATAACTTATGGTTTAGAATAATTTTCAGTTGTCATTTGATGGTAATATCTGAATTGCACGAATGGAGACTTATGCCGTGTTTCTCCTAGGTTGGTGGTTGACGATGCAAATGAAAGAAAGTCATGAAATGGAACTTTAGAAGTTTAATATGATAAGATAATAGTATGTTCACCAAGGGTTATATTTTCCATTTAATTATGAGATTTCAATGCAAAAAAAGAAAATGGGCATACACATTATCTATACGAGGTCTGTTGTTTTGAGGTTTAAGTTATTGAGAAGATTAAATTTCCTAAAAACAGAAGGATCGTATGCATTAATTCTAGACTAAGGAGATCATAGAATACTAGGAAATTGAAGAGAATTCTATAACACAATTATAAAACCAACAATGATTTATGGACCATAACATTGGAAGATTTAGAAAATAACGCGTCAAAAAAAAAGAAAAAAAAGAAAAGCAGAAACGAGAACATTTCGATCAACTTGTGGATATAAATTAAGAGTTACAATTAGAAATTAGTACATTTGAAAGAAGTTAGAGGTTTCTTCTATTGAGGGTAAAATAAGAGATCCAATTGAGATGATCAGTCATGTGTATGAAAGCTTCTTCTTTATTATTGTCACGCCCTGAAACAACATCAAACATTATTATATAGTCAATTATCAAGTTGAGGCAAATGATAGTTGGCCACCGGTCCTTTTAATAAGAAGACTTGCAAAGGCTAACTTCAATGCATTCCATAAACAATATTTCTAGATATTTAATCCATAAAGAAAAACTTTATATTCCACAACCAAACTTTGCATATCAACTCCTAAAGAAGGCTGGTACGAGTATGGGAATACGAGTACAGTATGAGACATGACAAATTTGTAAAAGGTAGGGTATAGGGACATGATTGAGACTTATGGGATAAAATTATAGTTCTTAGCTATATATGTAAATGACCCTTCTAAATTATAGCTCTTAAGGCTAAAATGAACTCGACCCTTATCCAACAAGTTATAAATATGGATGTGAAGTGTGGGATATATATATATATATATAAACATGCATTGTATAATTGAGTACATGTCTGAATAAATATATGCATATATTGGATGAGTGTCCAAGAAGTGCCAGGTATGCGTACGACTCTATATTGGAAAGTACTGAAGTAACATAGCCCTTACCATATTATCAGAGTTACTGAAGCATATAAGTTACAAAGTTCATATAAGGACCACTTTGTTATGATTGAATAGCTGGAGGAAAAATTTGCGACTAGCAATCCGATTCACCCCTTGAACTCGATCCTTCGGGCCACATTAATCTAAAAGTTATTATTTAATTTTTTGGTGAGCTTTTTACATGCTTAGTGAGTGGTAGATATTTGATAATTTATGTAAAGCATGCATGGAACAAAATACTGACCAGACAAGAAGTTTATGATAAGTATGTAGTAGTTTAAAATCATCTATATATATATATATATATATCCTAGAAATGTATGATGAGTGTTTTAAATTAAACATGCATTGTATAATTGAGTACATGTCTGAATAAATATATGCATATATTGGATGAGTGTCCAAGAAGTGCCAGGTATGCGTACGACTCTATATTGGAAAGTACTGAAGTAACATAGCCCTTACCATATTATCAGAGTTACTGAAGCATATAAGTTACAAAGTTCATATAAGGACCACTTTGTTATGATTGAATAGCTGGAGGAAAAATTTGCGACTAGCAATCCGATTCACCCCTTGAACTCGATCCTTCGGGCCACATTAATCTAAAAGTTATTATTTAATTTTTTGGTGAGCTTTTTACATGCTTAGTGAGTGGTAGATATTTGATAATTTATGTAAAGCATGCATGGAACAAAATACTGACCAGACAAGAAGTTTATGATAAGTATGTAGTAGTTTAAAATCATCTATATGCATAGAATTAAGCAACAGTACACTCTATATTGACAACGAGACTTCTTATAGTGCCAATCTAGTTAGAAAGGTTGCCTTTAGGGATGCTCTACCTTTTACGCTATATTCAACTAGACTGCCTATGATAACATGTCTCATGCGGACTCCTTACAATGCTTCTCTATCTATCATAACACCCTATGCCCTTGATAGGTTCGTAACTTGTTAATTTCTTGTTGTACACCATTAGTCAACAAACAATGCATTATATATTTTAATATGATTCAAATGTTATGTTATATATATAAAGAAATATAATTTTCCAAATATGCCAAGGTCAACTAGAATCAATGGATGCCTACAACATCTATATTTTAAAATAACTTTAATGCTTGTGTAATAATCACTGTTATAAATAGCGGTAAATAGTCTCGCAATAGCGACGCTAATAGCATTAGCGGTCCCTTCCCGCGACGCTATCGTCCGCTACGCTATCGCACAATAGCGGTGATATATTGCGGAATATCTGTTCGTAAAAGCGACCAATAGTGTGTCATAACAGTAAATAGTAAGCGATTGCATTCGAAATTTGCTTTTTGACTGCTATTTAAAAGTAGTTTGAGGCTTATTTTTTTAAAATTAAACTCAACCCTTGACCATTGTATTTCACCGTCTCCTGTGATTTTCAGCATACTCCCGTCACCTTTCATAGTCTCTGGCACCTACCTTGATACTTCCTCTCACCTCCTTCTCCGTGAGCTCCTCTTAGGGTAGTCCTATCACCGCTAAGCTTTTCTTCTCGAAGACGACGACTTCTTGACTCCTCTAGTTATCTTCGGTATTACGTGATGGTTACATGTCTATTTCATGTTTAGGATCTCTTTAAATCATCCAATATGTACTGTACTTTTAGATTTTTTAAATTTTTCTTTAAATTTTTTAGTATTTATACATATCTAAATTAGACCGTTATTTGACTTTGCGTTTTTTATCGTTATTTTACCGCAATAGCCCGAAATAGTCTTAGCGATGCCTCACCGCTACGCGACGCTATCCGCTATCGATAACCTTGGTAATAATATGGTATAACATGATTCATGTGAAAGATGAGAAAAACATAGATTAAAGAATAGTGTTATACTACACCTCTAAATATTGTTCTTTCCTTCTCTCCACTTCTTTGATTCTTCTCCTTCTTTTGTTCCTGCTTCCTCTTCTTCTTTTCTTTTCCTTTTTTCTTTCCTTTTTTTCTTCTGTCTATTGGTAGCTTTAGGATAGGAGAAGTGAGGTAGAGGGGGATTATATACCCTCCTTTACCTCCTATTGACAACATGTGTCCTCATACTTGTCAACCAAAAATACCACTTCCACATAAACCCTCTTCACCTCTTACTAACGTGTCCTCTCTTTTTCTCCCTTGATTCCACCTCAACCTACATCACCTTCACCTCCTCTTTACTTGTGGGGTATGTGTCTCTCCTCCCTTCCAAAAATGCCACCTCCTACACCTCATCTTTCACTATGAACATGTGTTCATTCCCTCCTTTCATGATAGACACCTATACTTCCATCTCCTCCTAATCAAGTAATGAGTTTCCCTCCTATCTCCATGTAATGACATGTCAACATATTAATTGAAGAATAAACACATCCAAAAAATTTGCATAAAATCCCTCCTAATTCTCACATTAGCGCTGAGCTTATTACCAAAATGGTCTACCGAGAGGTGAGCCTCACTCTTCAAATTGTGATTTGTAGGGTCAATTACACTAATACGTACTGGCCCATATCTCGGTAGTTTTCTTTATCTTCACTAGTATTTTGGTGCATGAGATGCGTGCAAGATGCCGAACGTTAGAGATTGTTGTACTCAGATTCTCAAGAAAATAGACATTACATTATTATTTTGGAATTTTCCAATTGTGAGGGCATTTTCCTTCCATGTGTGTGAGAGCATTTATGTTGTTCTTTCTTAGTACGAGGGCATTTCTGTAGCTTTTCAAATGTCAGGGCATTTTGAAATTTTGAAAATGGAGCTCACATGACCAAAAGGGTGGCTTTCTTTAAATAATAGTTTTGCTTTGTTATAACTAGTTTTTCATATAAATACCCTTAGCTGAAATGAGTGGAAGATTATGATTCAAGCACACGAAGTTGTATTTTTTCTCTTTTCGAGAGGAGAGTATTTTCTCACCTTTTCTATCATTGGATGTGGGCGTTATTTGGCAAAAAAGATGGGATGATATATATTTTTGATTAGAAGATGGGTTGACATTTCTACTTTTGTTATATTTTATGTTGTATGATGTCATGTCTCCCTATTTTTTTAGAAACCACTATTTGATTTAAAACAAAAGGAAATTATAGTTGGATTCAAAAGAGGTTTCTAATTGAATTTGTCAATGTACATTTTATAACACTAGTATATTGGCAATTGGCACATGCAAATAATGTTAAATATCTATCTAAATAGTTCTTTTCTTGCATGTTAATTATGTTATAATCATTTAATGTGTATTTATAGTATTTGTAGTAAAAAATGTTGATCAAATAATAAGAATATTTAAAAGTATGTATGTCTTTTATGCATCTAGAAAATTATTTTTTGTGTCCTTCATTTTATTAATATGAATGAAATTGAGCTTAAAATTCATATAGTAGTTTATTGAGCATTAGTGGATCTAAATAAAATAAATTTTATCTGGTTTATTTTCTAAATTTTTTAGTTTCTTGGTTAACTTTATATTAAAGCAACAAAAACAATTGTACATAAGAAAGTTCATCCAAGTTTTATAATTTTATTAACAATTATGAAAAGTATTGTTATTAAAACCTATTTTTAAATATATATTATATACATGTTAAATAAGGCTCTTATTTATACTATGTCACTGCCTAGTTTGTATTGTGTTGCATTTTTTGTCCCTTAAATCATATGTTTTTAAAAAATGTCATTCATGAAATTTTAAATTTGAGGAGATGAGCAATGAAAGTAATGGAACTTTCTAGAGAGAGGGGAATGAAATTTTAATATTTTCTAGAGAGGAGATGAAATTTTAAATTTGAAAAAGAGATGGAGGAATAAAAGTAATGGAACCTTCTAGAGAGGGGAGAAAGGGAGGAAGAGATGGAGCCCACATCAATAAGACATTGACAATTAACCAAATTACCCTTACATTTTACTAAAACTATCCTATGTTCTTTGACAAATTGAAGGAATAAGTGCTGATTCCTCCACATTTGGCTACCCTCACAAAGACTTTTATAGAGTAATATAGATGATAATAGTGGATCATTTATTTAGGTGATCTGTCATGGGCGTTGGTAGGAGGAACAGACTTTTAAGTTTGTCCTACTTCTTGGGGAAATATAAACCCATAGCACGCATGTGTGCACACACGTGCATATGTGCATTGTTGATGGTCTTTTTATATTATACCAAAATATGGCTTTACAGGTCTCATAGTTAGCCTTCAATTTTGATGCAGGATTCTATTTCATCCCCAGTGCATTGACTGTTCAAGAGCAAGGTCACTGGATCAGGGAGAGCCTGACTACCTTTCCTCAGCCTCCTAACAGAACCAATCATACTGCTACCTACGGTCCCATCTTTGATTTGTTCAAAGCTGTTCAAAACCAGGAAGTTTTAACTGAAGATGAGACGAGTGCAAATTTGGAGTGTGAGCATATCCCTGTTGATAACTTTCATGTTGCTCAGAGATTCATATTTTCTGAAGCAAGTGCCATCATTCATAAAGAGAAGGCTTGTAAACCAATTGCAGCATCCCTTCTTTTGCGCAAACTGCGATGGAGCACCCTTGGGTTGCAATTTGACTGGTCTAAGGTATGTAAATGTTTCTTTACCTTAGAATTACAATGCAACAAGTCACATAGTCATCATTACCAGACAAAAAGCTTTGTTGTAAGTATATTTCTTACAGTAGAATTTTTGGTTGATGGAACTTTCCAATACCTTATGTATTATATATTCTTATCCATCACCTTAAAAGCCTTTTTCCCCCTTTTCTGGGTAGAATATCTCATCCAAACTTTTTTTTTTCTGTTGTAGCGCAACTATGATGTTACGCTCCATCATAACAAGATACCAGATTCCCTTTGTTTGCTCGCAAAGAAAATGGCATCACCTGCCATGCCTTCAGGAGAAGAATTTAAGCCAGAAGCTGCAATAGTGAACTATTTTGGTCCAAGTATGTTAGAAATGTGCCTTGATATGCCACTTTAAGTTGACCATAACAGTCATTTTAGATATAACTATTTTTTATGAAACTTCTTTGAAAACATACTGCCTATAGTTTGTGGACTAAAAAATGTTTCTTTTTCTTTTCTCAACTCAGGTGATATGCTGGGGGGCCACCTTGATGACATGGAGGCAGATTGGAGCAAGCCTATTGTAAGCATCAGGTATAATTCATATTCTCTCTTGCATGTTCGAGCTTCTGCATAGTTGCTTGTTTGTCTGAGAAAATGCTTTTATCTTCTTTTGTAGCTTGGGCTGCAAGGCAATATTTCTCCTCGGTGGAAAGTCAAGAGAGGATTTACCAGTAGCCATGTTTTTGCGAAGTGGTGATATTGTACTTATGGCTGGACAAGCAAGGGAATGCTTCCATGGTCAGAGAAATTTTCACTGCATCTACTGTCTGTTAGAATTAGTATTCTTCCTGCAATTGGCCCTGCTTAAATTACACCCTCAGAGAATTTACTATTTCATTATTTATGCTAATCGCTGTGATTTTGATCATATCTGAAAACCTTGGTCTTTCTATTTGTCCCTATTTCCTCATCCTAGTGCTCTATAACATGAAAATAATGAAAATATGTACACTCCTTGTAGAAGTAAACTGTGACATTATTTTCTCATGAGGTACTCGAGCTGCTAGAGTTTGATATATTGAGAACTTCATCCACAAGCAGCATCTATCTACATTGACGAAAATCCTATACGCTGAACATAAATTTGAGGAACCACCAAATTATGTTCCACCATGTCATGTGCTATGCACCAGCTGTGCTAGACTAGCAGACTATCTCCTCTTGTTACCTGGCAATAATGGATGCATATGAAGGTGAATGACATCATATTACTTGATGTGTACTGCTCTTTCCACGCCACAATATTGTACACGGACACAGATGAACTCGTGCGCATGCATATGCACAAATTAGTGAATGGTATATGTTTTCATTATCTGTAGCAGTATTATACTATTATCTCCCTCTATATGTGTGTGTGTGTCTATATGTGTGTGTGTGTGTGTGCATAACTCTTGGTAATATTTCCATTTTATATGTATTATATATCATCAAAATGGAAGGTGGAGGTGTCTTGCTCATAAAAAGAACTATTTGGAATTGGTACCGGTTAATAATGGCTGCTCATTCCTGAAAAAGAAGGGAAAGATGAGTCCCATGTTCTCCACTATCTCTGTAACCACTGAACTTAAACTGCACAGGTTATACAGGAAAATCGTGTACAATGAAAAGGCACGTACCACTTCACTGTTATATTGGACAACAATGTAGGAAAAAACTCAATTCATAACACGTTATAATGCGTTATGTAATGTGACGACAGAGATTTGTTGAAGAACACAGCCAGAAAACGCATCGCTCTGTGACAATGAGTTTTAGCGAAAAAAGTGCATGTTACAGAACACGTTTCCTAGCAGTGCATTTTATTGCATTAAACATCCTTATAATATGAGCCGTTGGATTTTAAGTGAGATAATATCCAACCATTCATTCCATTTAAAACCCTCCCCCACTTTAGAAAAGATCACGATTTCCCCCAATTCTCTTGTCTCGATATCAAAACCCTCAAATCAGAAAAGCCCAATTTCTCTCACCTCCCCCAATTTCTCTCGATATCAAAACTATAGAATTACTCGACGCTCCCAATTTCTCTATCGCTGCGACTTTGTCTTTGCTGCCTACGATGAAGGAGAAGACATAGACGAAGACCCAGGCCAAGCCCTCAAAACCCTAATAGAAGATGAGAATCACGATGTTGGTGAACCTGGACTGACTCGACTCAATGCTAACCACTTCTTGATGATGACTAATGTTATCGATAGCGGATAGCGTCGCGTAGCGGTGAGGCATCGCTAAGGTTATTTCGGGCTATTGCGGCAAAATAATGGTAAAAAGCGTAAAGTCAAATAACGGTCTAATTTAGATATGTATAAATACTAAAAAAGAAAAATTAAAGAAAAATTAAAAAAATCTAAAAGTACATATTAGATGATTTAAAGAGATCCTAAACATGAAATAGACATATAATCATCACGTAATACCGAAGATGACTGGAGGAGTGAAAAAGTCGTCGTCTTTAAGAAGAAGAGCTTAGTGGTGACAGGACTGTCCTAAGAGGAGCTCACGGTGAAGGAGGCGAGAGGAAGTATCAAGGTAGGTACTAGAGGCTATGAGAGGTGGTGAGAGTATGCTGAAAATCATAGGAGACGGTGGAATACAATGGTCAAGGGTTGAGTTTAATTTTAAAAAATAAATCTCAAACCGCTTTTAAATAGCAGTCAAAAAGCAAATTTCGAATACAATCGCTCATTATTTACCATTATGATATACTATTGGTCGCTTTTGCGAACAGACATATTCCGCAATATGTCACCGTTATTACGCGATAACGTAGCGGGCGATAGCGGCATGGGAAGAGACCGCTAACGCTATTAGTGCCGCTATTACGGGGCTATTTACCGCTATTTATAACAGTGATGATGACTAGTGGTCCCACGGCGTAGGTCAAGTCGTATGTCGCTGGCTGAGGTTAGTATTTTTTTTTTATACTTAAGTTATTTATCATGACTTTGAGGGTGTTAGTGCTAATGATTAGGGTTTTGAGCACTATTAGAGTTAATTGTTGTGATTTTGTTGAATGTCATTGTTAATTATTGTTATTTTGTGGATTGTGAGTCAGCTATTGCGTTTTTTAATGACTATTAGTGTTAACTTAAATTAACTGATAAGAATAGGTAATAATAAGATTGAAATGTTAAGTGTTGAATTAATTGGGTACTTTTAAGTGTTAGAGTGAACTAATTTCATGATTTTTGGAGTTATTTTGAAATTGTAAATAAGTAAATTGATTCCTACCGGATAAATGATCTATTAGTTATTGAATTGATAGTTACTAGTTTCCATTCGATGTCCGGGTTACCAATTCACAAATAATTTGTTTTTTTTTAGTTTGATTTGTTGTTTGTTTGGCTATGGGTAGAACCACATGACATTAAATAATGTTTAAGAATTAGATCTCGTGAGAGAATATGGTCTTTCTAAGGAGGATGAACCCCTAACAAATCTTATTGCAAGTTTTACATTCACAAAATCACAGGAAATATAACACGGTTAAAACATCATTTTCTCAGAACTAAAAATGGGTCAATTAGTATGAAAAAGTTCTAGAACCAGCAAAGAAATTGCCTAGATACTCTGAAGGAAATCAAGTTAGGAAAGAGAAGGTCACATTGGCTAGGTCAATTGGGAAGATGGAAGATCCAAATGAGGAGATTGATAGTCTAGAGGCACAGAGCTGAGTCGGGAGCAGCATCAGGCCTAATAGTCTCGAACTTTGGTCCAATGAACCAATTTGTCAACATGCAGGGTCGTCAAACGACGATAAGAGAAAATTCAAAAAAAGAAGAAAGAGAAGAGTTAACATAGAAGATTAGTCACTACATATTTGCTATTGGGTTGTCCTTCAATATCTTGAACAGCTTGTACCGATGGGCGATGATAGAGCATATTAGGAAGTTCGCGTCCGGCTAGAAGCTTCCTTCTCTGTATGAGATGAGGACAAGGATGCTAAAGAATAAGAGGAAGGGATGAATGATGTAAAGGCAATTCATAAGATGACTATGGAAAAATATGGGTGCATTGTTATGTCTGATGGGTTGTCTGATAGAAAGAGTAGAAGTTTAATAAACTTTCTTGTAAACTTACCGGAGGAGGCTTTTTTCACGAGTTAACTAATGCATCAGCTTTTATCAAGAATGAAGATTATCTTTTTCAATGTATTGGTAGTATGGTAGAGTTTAGGGAGCAGCATGTTTTACAAGTCATCAGCGAAAGTCACGTCTCCTATGTGAATGCTAGGAAGAAGTTGATGAAGGCGAGAAGATCATTTTACTAGAGCTCGTGTGCAACACGTTGCATAGACCTTATGCTAATGTCCATACTGAAGGACATCAGAAAGATAAAGATACAACAATATTCTTGAGGCGACTAAAGGAGTTAATAGTTTATTTATCATCATTGTTGGGTTTGCGCTTGATGAGGATGAACACGAGCGGGAAAGAGCTGCTAAGGCCTGCCTTTACCTGCTTCGTCGCATTGTTCGTGACATTGCTGGGGTTGTCCTCCTTAAAATAACATTTGAGGAACATGTTCTCCCTAGAAGAACTCCAGAAGAGCAGTTAAGTAAAGGAGTCGAGTGGAGTAAAGGCGATGGAATCTATTCTCTATAATAATGTTACAGAAAGCGCTAGGTGGACTAAGCGTTTGGGTTGGGGCCTGACGCCTAGACAACACCTAAGCATTTGACTTTTTTAGTTAAATAATTGTAATAATTGATGAAATAAGATTTTGATCTTAAATTCTTAAATAGATCATTTAACTCTTGCATTCTAGCTCATATTAAATTAAACTAAAATTGAACAAGACTAACTAATTAACTAAATAAAAAAGTAAAATAAGTGAAAAATAAAAAAGTAGTGAAAAAATAAAAAATAATGAAAATTTAAAAATTTACCTTGAAAAGAAGAGGAGGTTCAGCCATTGAGGTGGTGACGACAGTGCAAAGAGAAATAGGTTTAGGTGGTTGCGGCGGTGGGAAGAGAGGAGGTGGTTGTAGCGGTGATGATGGTTGAGAGAGAGAAGAGGAGGTGGTTGCGGGGGTTTATTAAGAGGAGCAAAGAGAGGAGGAGATGGTTGCGAGTGGTGGCTGCTGGGGTCCGTCGA